AATATCTTTCTATTCTTTTCAAACCATCATTGTATTAGAGTGATCAGGATGGGCGGGCAAATGCTTCATAAACAGAGCACTCCTGTTGGCTCAAATATCAGAAGCCAATCAAACTACACAGAAATGTCCCAGCTACAAGCTTGCCCATCTACATGGGTAGTTTCATGGCATGCCTCATATATATGCGGCTTACATATCCGAGCGAGATACGATACCTCCTATGTAGAACGACGGCCGTCTCGCATTCGTATTACTCCGCATCCACCATGAGAAATGTGCAGCATCTAACGCGTCCCAACCACGGTAGCCAAATCGACGCCGTTACATTTGCCGATGCACGATCTACGTAGTTCCTCCTAGCCTCTATGGTGACAATGGAGATGACACCACCGCTTTCCTGTATTCATATGCAGATGCTGTTTCAGCTAGTCTATACTCGTCACGTTGTAAGTATTGAAAGTAATACCGCGAATGCCTGCGTCAGCAGTGAAATTTGTAGGCGAACCTGACTCGCCAGCGGGCTTCACACCGCCGGTCAAATGATGTAAAAGCCCCCATTCAGCAATCGGGTTTTATAAGACAAATGAAAGGGCGTTGAGATCTTGCCCGCAGAGTGTCATACCAGATCCATGTAGATGGAGCTGTTAGCCATTCTAGCGGATTACATAGGCGGAACTAGCAGGAAAATATCTCACTATATTGTTTTCAAAGCCCGTCTATTTCTCACTTCATTCCCGTCTTTCGCGAAGCAATATACATGTAAACCAGCCAAGTCCTCCTTGCCCCCCCGCAGGCCCTCGCCCAACAAAGCAAAAGCCGGCCCATCTCTTGCTCCCGACCGAGCGGGCGGACAAGGCCGGGCTGGAAGTTTTTCGCGAGGATTTAAAGCCACAGGAGGCCAGCCAACCCCGGCCCCCAGCCCGATGCGGCCTAGCAGGCTGCTTAATATAGCATCAAAAACGTGCCAGCGTGGGAGCCATTCGCTCGGGAGAAGAATCCCCACCGGCTACTGCTCCTCTGGGCTCCTCTGGGACGCTTGTCGTGGAGTTGCTGGGAGCAGGCTGAATCCACTCGCCGCGTGCTCATGTGCAGCAGCAAGATGGGCTAGTCAACAGATCGGGAAGAAAATCGTTCCTTGGCCTACCCAGAGTTGTGCCGCGTCTGGATCCCAGCTTATGGGATTGGGCATGGCGGCCTCTTGTTTGCTATCAGATGGTATTTGGTATTTGGAATTTCGGAATCTCGGCATCAAAAGACTGGGCTGGATGATGGTACAAAAGGGCGTTGGCAGCGCGTCCATCTTATAGCCGGATCCTCGGTCTAAGCCAAGAGCAAAGAATCAAAGCGACAGCATATTCCAGTCTTGAATTGTTTGATATACTCAATTCCACTCCTTCAAAGATACAATGCGTGCTACAACTCTCGCTACTGCAGCCGTCGTGGCGCTGGCTTCCCACGCCAATGCAGACACGATCCGAATCGATGTTGGACAAAACAATGCTTTGGCCTTTTCCCCCGACAGTGTGACGGCAAAGGTCGGAGATATCCTCGACTTTCATTTCCACGCCATTAACCATTCCGTTGTGATGGGCGACTTTGACACCCCTTGTGCTCCGGCCAAGACGGGTGGCTTCTTCTCCGGCTTCATGCCTGTTTCCGGCAGTGGAGAGGCGGTACGTTGAATCCTACATATTTTCAGGGCATTGATGTGTTCCCCAACATTTACCTTGTAGAAAATACACTGCATTCACTTGTTTCTGTGTCTGTACGCGTTGGGTTCTCAGCTAATAGTTTTTCATAGGACGAGAGCTTCCAAGTCAAGGTCAACTCCACCGACCCCATCTTCTTCTACTGCGCACAAAACACATTCTCGCACTGCAAATCGGGAATGAGCGGGGTCGTGAATGGTCCCAGTTCCGGCAATACTCTTGCAGCTTACCAGAGTGCCGCCAAGAACGTTAAGAGCGCTTCAAACCCTGCCTCTGTCTTTGGTGGCTCACTTGTGGCCGACGCATCCAGTTCCCCGACGACCTCTGCCGCTGCTGCTGCCACGACCTCTTGCACCGTCACCAGCAACTCTGGCGGTGGCAATGGCTACAAGCGATCCACCACTTGCACTTCCGGTGCAGGCTCTGTCCAGGTTTCCCTTGGCATTGTTGCTGCCTTCACTTTCGGCATGGCCATCCTGATGTCCTAGAATAGTTTACAGATGGAATAGGAAATCCCTTTCCATGGTTGGATACCCAGATTAACGTTCTATTTGTACATGATATAAACGTAATGAATAATTGACCACCTATACACGAAGCCTATTAAGCAAGTCTCCTGATAATGTGAACCATGCTTTGACATTGAGGTTTACTACACGCGCGTAAATGTATTAACACATAAATTATTTACCATTGATCATTTAACACTAAGGATATATCTCTAGCTTTTATGCTTCTACGTGTACTTGCGTGATACCAGGTACCAGAAAATGGTCGGGCTAGATAGAGATATTAGTAGAAGATTGTAATAGAGATTGTTCCTAGAATAATGTGATGATTCTATTGAATACTGCTTACATTGTCATATAGTTAGTTGCCAGGATGCAAGTGGCCAAAAGTCAAATTCTTGGAAGAAAAGATTGATGTCGAATCACCTTACCATGAGCATTGTAGAAGCTATTGTTGAGAAATATACCAGTATCTCTATCCATGTATCCACAAGTTTGATACTCTCGGTAGGTTGTTTATAACATATATACAAAATAACAATTACAAACCGGCTGCAATCTGCTTTTGGAAATTTCCATTCTTCACAGCCAACTGAGCCTCCCAAAGCATGGCGCCACCATAGTTGGGAAGGTTCATGTTCTTCACATCTTGAAGAGAGCTGACCAAAGTGTCGGCATCAACGTAACCCTGGTCTCCATCAGCGCCGCTAGCCAAAGCCCCGATAAACAGGGTAGCATTGCCAATGCCGCTGCTCCATGTCTGAACAGAGTTCTTGAAGTCAGACTGCGCAATGTTGCAGTCGCCATTGTTGTAAAACTGAACCCAGACGTAATTCAGCTCTTTGCAAACATCAAGAGGCTCTGAAGCATCGGGGAATGGGCACTGAGGTGCTGCCGTGAGGTAGTAAGTCTTGCTGGTGTCCGACTGAAAGTTGGACCTGAAGCGTTGTGTCATGGCCAAGTAGCCAGTAGAGTCTCCGGATTCGTTGTCTGAACAATGTTAGTCATGTTAACCTTCCCTTATTACATCGGTTCAGATTACATACCCAAGTCAAAGCCATCGAGCTTGACATCGCCAAAAGGACGAAGCTCAGCGTTCTCAGTACCGCCACCAAACAGGTTCCAAAGAGTATCGGCAATCTTCTCGCCATCAGAGTCCGATTGGAGAGTGACATCGGCATCGGCACCACCAAGGCTGAGAATAACCAGCTTTCCGGCAGACTGGCACTGCTTGATAGCATCTACAATGCCACTGCCATCCTTGAGCCCAGTCGCGCCAGCGCTCTGCTGAGCATCGGATGAGTTATCCAAGCCGCTCATGCTGATTTCGGGCCAGCCACCGGCAGCAAAGAACCTGTTAAGGAAGGCCAGGTTCACAATGCCGTAAGAGTCATCCGAGCAGACGTCGCTGAGAGTTGTGCTGTCATCTTCAGCACCCCAGTAGATGACCAAACGAGCATTGCCAGCGTCAACAGCACGCTTGGCGGGCAGTGCGTTGGAAAGGGAAGCCAAAAGGCCAGTAATAGCGACTGCGTTGCGAACAAACATTTTGTAAAGAAAGTTGAAGTTGAAGATCAAAGAATGGAATGAAGTATGTATGTACAACTTGGGAATGCCTATAAGAGCGGCAAAAAGAATGTGATATATACAATCCTAGAAGGGATGTTGTCCAATGGAGTATGATGAACAAACATGTCGATGGGATGTATACGAGGTTATATAAATTTCCATTGTCCTCAACCTTTTCAGGGTCTCAGTGTTGTTGCTAAACGAATTAACGCTACTTGGCAGGTGCCATCTCAAATTCACAATCCACAGCTACGATACGCCAAATAAAGGATGGAAATGCAGATCCGGAGATTCTTAAAGCGCGGGTGCTACAAGCTTAGCAACTTGAGTTGTCGATCTTTTCTCGTATAAGCGCGAACCTGACGCTAAAAGGCAGCCGTGTTGTTAGAATGAAACGCGCAATAATCTTGTCGCTGTTGGACTACGAGCTGCTCTATGTTGGAGGACGGAATGGCAAGACAATGGTCGGAGGGAATCGGCCCTATGGCAGATGCGACTGACGATCACGGAAAAATTGCATCGTATTGTAGATGCGACACTTGTCTTGTGTCTGTCCAATGGCTTAAAGGTTACATCTCGACGCTCGATAAGAGGGAGACATTATAGATGCAATATTTTCTGATTATCGATGCCACCGTCGGGAAGCTCATATTGATATCTTCTTGGCAGTCATATTCTGACATTGAGCCTTTTGAGTTGAAGCTGGAATACCGTGCAATTTAGTGACAGTATTGTCGTTTCCAGTGGTATCTTTACTGGAGGGATAGGGCTTACACTTGTTAATGCCAATTGCCTTATTAGGAAGGTAACGTCTCCAGAGGTCCACCACGGACTCCGCGGTGCCTGTGACAAGAATCCGTTTGCCGCTGTTTCAAGGTGTTCAGCTTACGAATAACTGAAATGATATCGCCTAAAGAGGATCAAGGTAGTGTTTTTGTAGAAAGATCTACATAAAATGCCCCTGAAAGCCGTGGTTTGACAGCAACAGACCCGGAGCAATTAGCTAAAGTTGTAGAACTGATGGGATCGAAAGCCGGGCATTGATGGTACATCTCGTATCATGTTTCATAGTCACTCTTCTCTTATCATTTGAGTCTCTCCTGCGCTAATTCTCACATTTTACAGAAGCGCAGCCCAGTTTACATGATTCAACGCTCTTTTGGAAATATAAAGACAGTTATATAACACACTGGCTGTCTAATTTAGATGCAATTTAACCAACGCATTGCAGTGTGACACTCTTACTAGTGTCGGCGTTGGTACCGCCATTCTCCAGCAGAGCAAATGTATAAGATCCCTTTTCCAGCTCCCACTTATTCGCTCGGTTCAAAATCATCAAATATCTGTCAACCTCCAGCTCAATAGACACAGTCCTCTTCTCACCCGCATTCAGATACACTCGTTGGAAGCCCACAAGCTGTTTGACTGGCTGAGTGACAGTTGACACACGGCCTAGTAAGTAGATTTGGGCAACATAGCTGCCAGAAACGGACCCAGTGTTCTGAACAGTCACTGAGAATGTGATCCAGTCACCGCCGCCGAAACTCTGGCCACTCGCTCGAGCATCGACGTTGGATCTCTTTGAGCTTGAACCCTTGACGGATGCAGTGGGAGACGTAGTCGAAAAGGTGGTGTAAGATAAGCCATATCCAAATGGATATGTGGGATCCGACGGTATGTCGAGGTACTGCGCTGCCCGAGCAGACGGCTTATAATTGTAATAAGCTGGAATCTGCCCAACTGAATACGGTACGGAGATTGGTACACGACCTCCGGGATTGAAAGCTCCAAAGAGTACGTCCGCAATCGCTTGTCCTCCAGCCTGTCCGCCAAAGAATGTGCTCAACACGGCAGATGACTGCTCGTAATGATCAGGTATGGCAAATGGTCTTCCACCCTCAAGCACCAGGATCACTGGCTTCCCAAGTGCGTAAATCTTCTTGGCCAGCGCATCCTGACTAGGCGCAAGGTCCAACGTTCCGCGATCACCGCTTTCACCGTCACTATTCCAGGCCGCTCCCACCGCGAGGACGATGGCATCGCTGTCTTTTGCGACTGAGACTGCTTGGTCGAGGGCGTCGCCGTTGGGTGATACCAAGTTCCACCAGAAAATAAGCTGTGAGTTGACCGAGTTGACATTTGCCGTCTTCTTGTAGTTGTTCCATGACTGGAACTCAATGCGAACTTGATGCTTGGCGCCCTTCTTGAACGTAAACTCTACGCCATCTTGGGGTGGGATGGAGTGGTTCTGTTGCGTCCACCCGTAGCCTTCAATGGTCCCAATGACGTTTCCTGAGGGGCCGTAGCCCTTGGATGCAATCAACTTGCCGTCAACATAGAGTTTCGATGTACTGTTTGGCCCAATCGCGAGTCCAATCCATCCGTTCACGTCTAGTTCAGTAGGCGATTCGAATTGACCTTCCCAGACAGCGCTAAAATTGTTGGAAGAAAGCCCCGGTGGTGGATATAGACCCCAGTCTTGGGCCGGAACCTCTGATCTTGTTGCTTTCGGGGAGGTGAAGTTGGTCTCACCGTAGTACGTCGCCTTGAGGCCACCAGTTTTCCCATTTGATGACAAAAGATAGCCTGGGACCACATATTGGTTGTTGTATTCCCAGCTATTGGTGCCCCAGCTGGATGTAATTTGCACCCTAGAGTGACTGGTCTTTTTCACATGACCCAACATGCCTTGGCGGAGGGTGTCTGCATATTTGGCAGGATACTGTCCGAGAGCGCCGGAATAATCTCCCAAATTGATCGTGTCGGCAAACGGGCCAATCAGTGCAATTTTGGTGTTTGACGATGGGTTCAGTGGCAGTGTGCTATTGTCATTCTTGAGCAGTACTATGCTCTTGTGTGCTGCTTCGAGTGCAACGTCTTGGTGGCTGGCCACGATGGCAAGCGGATCAATGTTTTCAGGAATGTAGGCATTCTTAAAAAGGCCGAGGTCCCATTTGAGGCCCAGGATTTTCCGAACATGAGATTGGAGCGTCTTGAGAGGTACAGTTCCATTCGCTACGAGATCTTTAGTAATCTGTCTATGGTTAGCAACCTGTCTACTCAGGTGAAGCGGTGCGAACTTGCCGTTAAGTAGGAGTCCAGATCCCAATCATAAAAGTCAATCATGCCGCCAGCATTAAACCATTGCTGCATTGCATCCGCTTGAGAGTTTGCCACTTTGTGCTGTGTGAGAATGTTTCTCATGCAAGTATCGTCTGCCAAAGTAAAGCCGTCAAAATTCCAGTCCTCTAGAGTCTGGTACAACATCGGGTGGACCGCTGCAGGGATTCCATCGATCTCGTTATATGCCCTAGGCGATATTAGCTATGTCTCGATATATAAGTCACAGTCCATACATCATTGCTCCTCTGGCTCCTCCTAGCTCGTAATTGGCTTTGAAAGGGACCAGAAGATCTTCCATGATTTGTCGGGTTCCAAGGCCTGTAAATGGAGCTGTGTTATGACCAGCTTGAGCGGCGCCATGGGCAGCAAAGTGCTAGTTTGTCTTAGTGAGAGTTATAATAAAGTCATTGTGAATCGTACCTTCATGATTGGGTAGACCGCATCAGGATCTGACCACGACTTGTTCTTGGATAAGCCAGAAGAGTAGGCAACTCCGATATGCGACGTGAGAACTTTATCTTCTCCAAATCCCTCTAGATGATGGTGAGTCAACGCTGAGAAGTTGCTGGTGCTTGGCTTACGAACCTTGAACTCTCCCCCAGCGAGGATCATGGGCGAGATCGAGGACTGGTGAGAAACAACCGTGTATTCCAATTGACCTTGCTTCGGTTCCAATGGCCCGTCCAACGCGGTACACGATGTCGGTGTCAAATGAAGCCGCCATTGCAATATTCTGCGGAAATAACGATTGCTTGAACGATCCAACCCCATGGAGACATTCCTCAACGAGCATCATCGGAATTTTAATGTGCGATTTGTCCAATTGGAGCTTTTGAACGGTGTTGAAGAATGACTTGTTCATGGGATACCTGGTCCAATGTAAGATTTGGCGACCGCGTTTTGATGGAAGTGTACAAACCAATCATGCATCACGCCAATTGGAGACGTCGGACTTAGATGCATCGTTTGCTCTATGGTTCATCAGCTGTGCTCTCCGTTGAAAGCCGGTTTGGAAATTACCGTATAGTTCATTATGGGAATCTTTTCCAACAATGTCATCTCCAAACATGAGATGCAGCTGCAAGACTACCATATCGTTATTATGCAATGCCATGATCGTTTTCCCACCATCTAAGACTCACCCAGATCGCTCACTGTCATCTTTGATATCAAAGAGTCAATGAATTGATCTTTATTCGTTGGTTTATTTGCCGCTCCATCATTGCTTCGCTTGGCTAGCCCTTCAAAGTTCAAAAAACCGGCGTCAACATGAGAGGCGACCGAAATCGCTAGCAAAGCTGCGGCCTTCCACTGCTTGAGCAGCATATTGAATCAATTGGCTGCATTTACTAGGCTACTCTACAAAGACCAGCTTGGAAGCCCAATTCTTCTTTTCGTCACATTTTATACTTGCGGAATGTCTGAAGCTCATACGATGTCCGCCAATGGCACATTCCCAATTGAATGAGGGGCTTGGATGGGGGATCGACAATCCGATCAACAATGCGGGGAGGTGTCCGATCGGTGTTTATGGCTAAATTGAATCGCAGTTCCGGGTCAGATGTACACTCACAATACTACCCTATCCAGGGATCTATTATCCTACGGAATATTTCTCGTCAAGTCAAATGCCGTGATTGATCTCCACCTCGTTCGATGAGCCGATTGCAAACAAGGTTATGTCAAACGGAAATACGAATACATACTAGCTATGCCGGATGATTGTCTGATGTACGGAGCAAAGATTAGCCTGAAGACGATGGTTCGAATCCTATCGTTTGTGTAATCCAAATGGATAGAGAATGACGCCGGGGAATAACCCGAAGGATACAGACGTCACGAACAACAGCGTACGATTAAAAATAACCTTTTCAGAAGCGTCACACTGCATATCCACGTTTGTTTAAAAGAGGTACTGATTTGCCATTGCAATGACAGCTCTCTTGAGTAATAGCCTATCAGCCAGAAGATGTCAAACCTGAGAAGCATTACTTTAGTAAGGTAACGTATCAATGCAGGCACAGAGCTGGGGATGTCGGAAATGACGAATGATGGCCTGTAGGTGATGAAGATTAACTAAGCGATGTTACTCTATGCAGAAAATTCTCATGTAAAATGAACAATGCAAAGTTTCGCTGGCTCACGTATTACCACTGGCGGTGGGTTTTTGCATAATATGTGCAGTATCCTTCATTTTCCATACATAACTCCAAATATTCATTAAGCACCAAACCCAAACACACGTCTTCAGATATCAGCCAGCAATCTTACTCAATAAAATGGCCAAGCGAATGTCAAATTGGGACCTCCGACAAACCACTCAAGTGGTGGACAGGAAAACCGAGACTGAGAAGATTATAAACACGCACACATTAAATTATACGCCCGTTTTTTTAAGTATCTACTACTCCCTTTAGCGACCTATACTTTCTCTACTATTTACTATAATATTTATTCATCTTTAATATCGGCTACTAAATCTATAATTCCTTAGTACCTGCTAATATAATTATATTTCTTAGGATTTACTAATATAATTATATTTGTCTAGTACTTATGGTGTAGCATTAAGCTGAATGGGTAGTTATATTGCTTATTGTATACACTTATTTATTTTGCGGTTTTGCTTTTTCTGTCCACCACTTTTCCCTTTAGTATGCAGTACCACTTCACAGCCTCAAGATATTACACAGTGGACTCACGAGACATTGGCATCATTATAAGCTTAGATTACTATATATTTAAGCATCAAAGCAGAAACAAAAATATAAACACCGTTTTATACAACACACTTATCCAGTATTACCAACCTTAAACTTAAGCGTCTAACTTTTAAAAAAAGATCATTAATGTCGTTAAGTAAAACTTAATAAGAGATAAGACTCTTAAGAGCTAGAGTATTATGGCGCCAGTACTGGTGTTAGTGTTAAGCTTAACTTGTAGAGGTTATATTTATTATCAAGAGGGTCAGTAAAACCGCAATAGCTAGGTGAGAGCAAGGCTACGCCCCAGTCTTTAGAAGCTCAACTGATGAAGAGTAGAAAAGCATTTAGACAATTGTATTGGGCGGACACGAAATTCGCTCTTCGCCAACCAACGTGGAAGACAAGAGCAGCATCATCTAACAAAGATGCCACAGAATAGACAGCAACGGACCAAGAGAAAAGTTTTCATGTGCAAATTTAGCTACATCGTGCGGTTCACCCATCAGTTGCATCACAATTAACGCTGGTACAGAAAATACTGTAGGTCTTGAGATGACGATACGAAGTGAAGGGAGAGTCAGTTCGTTTCTAGCTCTTTCAAAAGTCGACAATGATCTCCATCTTTCTCAGTTAGCCAAAGGAAGACCTAAATACTTGTTGCGGTGTCGGCGAAAACAAAATAAATCGGCACAGTGAAGCGGATGCATACAATGACACCGAATGTGCCAAGGTCAGCTTGTATTGAGAATCGCGTTATCCGACCGCCGCCACCTAATCAAATATTCGAGGCTCCTGTAGCTTGATGGAGTCTATAGTCACCACAACTACATTGTTTGCTTTGAGATTATTATCATCGGGATGCGCAGAGGCAGAAAAAGGGTGAACGAAGAATCTCGGCAAGTGGATATCGGGAAAACAGGGAATTTGGAAACGATCGGCACACAACACCGTCATTACGCACAACCAACTGAACCCTTGCGACATCAATCTCAATGACATCATGACGATTTCTACTGGGTATTTTAATCAGTCCAATCAGCCCTTTCAGGTCCAATCTGATATTCTACTATCAACAACAATGGCTCGTCAAACAGAGGTTACCTACCATCATATCGATACTCCAAGGAAGGCGCGGGTTAAAGGCGCTGTTGCATATGCGCAGTTACAAAAGCAGCGATATGGCATCGATTTCAGCTATCAGGATATCTTCCAAATCTGCCAAGTCAGCAAAACCCGTGGCTATGAGATACTCAAGTCGTCGTCTGATAGGACATTTCACAACGAATTCGAAGAGACTCGCGGCCGGAAGAAACTCCTTACAGACGAAGACATAGATAAGCTTAAAAAACTGATTTGGTCGGACGATTTTGAGGCTCGCCAGTTGACTTGGCCCCAGCTGCTTCCAGCGGCTGGAATAGACAAACATATTAGTCGTGCGACAGTTCGGCGAGCTCTTGGAACGCGACATTGGCGGAAATGTGTTGCTTGCCTCGTCGCGCATCGGCGTATCTGAGGCAAATGATGTCATAGGGATATCTTGGGTTTTGCCGAAGTCTAACCTCCGGTTATGTGGGGCCGGATCCCGGCTCTGTCCCCGGCGTTTGGGATTGGTGTTTGATGTTTTCTACAGGACGTCAGGGGATGAAAGCGTTCAAATAAGTCACATGTATTGTAAATAATATGCTTTGAGATCATCAGAAGATTTTTGAACCAATATGTATTGTGGTCAGGGAAAGTCTAGTCTATATAACTTGATGTGATATCTCCGTCGCTTGCAAACCCGCCCCGTAAACCGAATCCGAATTGTACTCCCCATAAAGAAAATGAAAGACAAATGCCATGGTATATGATGAAATAGAGTGTAAATAAACTAACTCAGACACCGCTGCAGGGTAGTAGAGGAGCTAGCTTAGAAACCGCTCAGGGGGTTGGGGTTGGCCCTCTGGAAGCCGCCAACTTTTCCCCCTTGAATCGTGCCTGGAATTACTAACGTGCTTGATTTGGCTATGGTCTTCTGGTTTGCGAGGGTCTTATCTCCGTCAAAATTTTGGTTGACCACCCCGAGCATGCCATTTACTTTTGACCTAGAGTGAAGCTCACAACTAAATTAGTCTCTTTCTTCTTATAAATGCGCGATTTTTTTGTAAACAAATGAATAGTACGATCAAGGGAGCAAAATTTGTAATATCAAAACGACGACAAGAACGCAAAACAATTGTGCCTCTTCGAGTCATTTACATCAACTACTTATAAAACTAGTTAGTGCTTAGCACAGTGTTATATAACAGGTAGGGCGGCTTCTACGTTAGCGTTTCTAATTAACATTTCCTAATTTAGCTGTTGCTCTGCATAGACCGATCTTAAATAGGAGCAGGTATCTGAGATCTCAGCCCTCCAAGGCGAAACTTAAAGAGGTAGTAGGTGTTTGCTAGCTGCATGTTAGCAGAGTGCGCGACACCTCTAGTAGAGGTCCGTGATGTCATAAATACCTTACATGTACTAGATAGTACCAATCCTGTTCGGTAAGCGAGGCGTTAATATAGACCTCCACCATCATAATGCAACTTACTTCGATAGGATATCGGGGCGCTTCTTTATTGTTCTTTGCTGCTCGAGAACCTTGATCTTTTCCCAGAAAGAGAAAAAGAGTTATCTTCAGTCAATTTGTCATCTCATATGAACCTTCTACTATAGCTTCGTCAGCAAAGCACTAGCAACCTTTGGTACATGGCGTGTATTATTAGGAAGAGAATGGTCGCCAAGAACTTTACTGAGCGTGGGGCCAGTTATGATTAGCAATACAGCACGCTATACACACCTTGTCCAATAAGTCTAACAGGTTAATACATCTGTGATTTACTATAAAAGATATCAGAACCGACACTACAAATTTCATTTTTATTTAACGATTTTCCGACTACCAACTGGGAAAAACTGCTAAAGATTAAGATTACCCGAGTCTCTACTGATACATTGCTTTCCAACTGGACTCTCATTACAATGGCTACTATACTATATCTCGGAGTGTCTGGGCAGATTGGAGGTGAGTTTGAACACCAGCTATAGAGAATTGTTCTAAATTAGAATGCAGGAGCATTTATTACATCTTTCCGTGAAAAATATCCTGAGATTCCAATAACCTTTTATCTTCGGAGTGTTGAGTTGGATGGAGCCCTGCGCAATCTCGGAAACACCACTGTCGTCCATGGAACCTTCGACCAGCTTCATGAAATTGAGAAGTTAGCATCGTCTCATTCACTGATATTCAACTTTGCGAGCTCAATGGATCCTTCAGTAACGGATGCCATTCTTCGAGGCGTACGTACACGCAAGTCTCAGACGGGGACGATGTCAGTTGTGTATCATCTCAGTGGCGCTGGAAACTTTGTCGACAACAGCGAATCCGGGGATTATATACCAACGGACCATCCGTTTGATGACGCGAATCCAGATGATGTTCGTACCATCACTGCAGCGAATCTTCCAAATGGGCCTTGTGACGAGTTACTATTTGTAGCTGCTAATAAAGGGGAGGCAAAGGTTTATTTCGTTTGCCCCGGTGGTACTTATGGTCACAGTGAACGCCACATTGGCAGATCTATAGGATTGGCTTCAGCATTTGCCCCAGGAAGGTGGATTGACTACATGACGCAAAATATAGAATCTCTCGGCTTTGGTGTTTACGTTGGCAGTGGCACTTCGGTATTCGGGGTCGTTCATGTCGACGACATCGTCTCGCTCATGATGCTCGTATATCAAAAGATTCTCAACACTGTCAACAATTATGAACCAGAAGACGTTTATCGTTACTGGTATAATGGCATCTACAGTGAAGAGCCAAGCAAAAAGGTTGCTGCTGCACTTGCTAAGCTCCAAGCCCGACGTGGCAAAATCACATCTTTCGAGACTAAATCTGTTGCGTACAAGGACGCAGGATTTACCGCCAGATATATTGCTGGTAACATGCTCATAGAATGTAACAACTCTAAATCACTCGGCTGGGCACCTCAAGGACCAGATTTATACACTACGTTAGAACAACTTGAATAAATCACAAGGCTGTAATTTCCCATCAATACAAACTTAATCTATCCTACAAGTCTATTCTAGTAACGTTATATATCAGATTGTTATATACTCATACCAACGGCTAAGTAATGAAACAAACAATACAGTTACTATGCTGGGATGAAATTATTAACTATAAGCCAATACAGGAATTAGAGAACTGGTAAAGTATCTCTGCAAAGTAACAGCTGTTCCCCGAGGGTCCATGATGCTTGCTTGCCTATTTTATAATTTAGATTTGTGTGGGTTCGCGTAAAACCAGGAAAGATATTGCGTTGGCATTTTGCAAGATCTGTTCCCAAGGTACAAGTAAGCTATGATGACTTCTCTTGAGTATTTTATAATAGCAAGGAGATAGTGAGCTTTCTAACGCGTAATCAACCCCAAGTTTAATTTTTAATTGAAGAGAATAATGTTAATAGTCGATTATGAAGCGAGCTCAATACCTGCATGGCCATGCACTTCGCGTGAACAAACTAGCTAGCGATGTTCCTTCAAAGAACTTTCTGTCCTTTACCCATGCCTTCGAAATAAAGTCTCGGCCGAGAGATAGCCCAGACATAATTGACTCTGGAGATGCTACATCATAGGCACCGCCAAATTGTCTATTTCTTGTAAGTTTCATGTGGTGTTGCTAGCCAGCATCCAGAGTTGGCTCTCCAGTATCTTAGTGACTGCCGAGTATCTAGTTGCAACAAAGGTTTCTTCTTCTACTATCCCTCCGTTTTCCCATCGTCACTACCCTCTCTACTATCGCTATTTTCTTTCTACTATTACTACTTTCTTCTACTATTACTTCTGATGCGTATTAACTTACCTGTCCGCTACCGCCACTACGCCACCTCCTACGCTAGTTGGACCTATGGCCTAAGACCAAGAAGAAGAACAGGAAGAGGAAGAAGAAGACGGACCTGCGATGTCCGTTGCAGGAGTCGACGGTTTCGTCGATTAGAACATCCAATATTAAATTTTAAGGTGGTGGGAGCCTTTGTCGAGGACAAAAAATAAATGAATGAGTGAGTGAGGACGCAACAAAATGAACACGGAAGAAGGAATGAAAAAGCACGATACTCGATACCGCAGTTGATTTGACATATTCTATCTCGACTGTCATCTCCAATTTGCAATTATAAAGTCTGGTATCACAAACACATTAACAGATATGGAAATAATCGTCACCCCACATGTTACCGGCACAGGCCAGAAGCTCCACACCAGAACGACTTCACATGTTGCACTTAGGGACACCAGATGCATCATCAAAATATACAATTGCATTGATTCTATATACAAATATTATGTTTACCTTAATGGCAAACGGTTCCAGGTCACACCATCCGGTGTTTCGCCGAGGTACGTACCTTTCCGCGAATAGCTTCACTTCCGGACGTCTAGCAGTACTGGCAAGCTCCCTCGGGACAGTATCTATAAAATAGTTAGCAATAATACTTCGAAATAGACGTAGATATACTGGCCCGTGTGAGCAACTGAAAGAGCACAGCCCTTTATATGAGTCGGGTTCTCCTGCAGTAGGGCAACCATTACGGCCGTCGCCTGATGGAGGAGTTCCGGCGGGTCCGAAGCTTGTGCAAGTGCAAGGTCCGACCGGGCAGTATCCGAAGCTATCGAAGAGGTTAGCAGGCTATTAAACAAGTGAAATACGAATAACTTACCTGCAAGAGAAGCTGCAGAGACCAGCAAAGTTGCCAGACTGGCCGGCGGCGTTGGTTCCACCATTGCAGTTGGTGGGATCAGCAGGAGGGGCGCTGCTGGTACGAGAAGCGGGAGGAGGAGAGTTGGGAGGAGGAGAGTTGCTGGTGGGGTTGGCAGGAGGAGTAACCGGGGAAGAAGGGTTGGTGCCCAGAGAAGGATGAGGCTGGCAGGTGGTGACACGGAGACCAGAAACCAGAGAGGTGAGGCCATCACCGCTGAGAGGGTCGGAGGGTCCAGCAGGGAGAGTTCCGACATAGGGGTTGAAGTTGTAGATACCGCAGGCGCAGACGTTGGTGATGTCCATCAGAGAGGTTCCAGAGAGGATGTTCTGGCCGTTGCGGTTGACAACGAAGCTCTGCTTGCCGAGGCCGGCGGGGACAGTGAAGATGTTGGCACCAGCAGGGGCGTTGAAGGACTGGGAGTTGCCACCGGAGGTGACGCTCAAGGTGGCGGGAGACTTGAGGAGAGTGACAACGTAGACATTGTCGTCCATGGTCTGGTAGCCGTTGGGAATACCCTCAAAGTAGTTGCCGCTGTCGTTGTTGGCGGGTCGGCCAGCGGTGGTGTCGGTAGCATCGCAGTTGAGGGTCTTTAGGTTACGGCGGTACCAGTAGACGACCTTCTCGGTCTGGATGTAGTTGGCAACGTTGGTGTCTCCGTTCTTGTAGGCGGCAATGAAGGGAGTGGACAGGTCGAGGAAACCGTCGTGGGGCATGTCGTTGGTCCACTTGGAGTTACCGTCGTCTCCGTGCTTGGAGCTCAGGGGTCCAACGTAGTGAGACTCACCATAGTCGTTCCAGGTGATGATCTCAACCATGGGGAAACCCTGTTGGAGGACTTGCTGCCATCGGTTGAACAGGAGAGCGCCACCAGGGAAGACAAAGTTCTTGCTGTAGCTGACCTCGGGGCCGTAGTGAGTAGAGAACCAGGGAGAGACGGGAGCGAGATAGGTCTTGCCGCCGAGCCAGCTCTGGTAGGAAGCATCACCCTGAGCGACAGTGACGTTGGCACCGGGAGTAGGGGCCTTGTTGTTACCGTTGCTGTCCCAGCCCATCCAGTTCAGGGCACCGTCGATGTTGGCGTTGGAAGACTGGCCGGGGTGGAAGTTGGGGACGAAGTAGACGTTGGTGCCAGCAGCAGAACGCATGGCGTTGACATCGAGGCCATCACCGGCGAAGGAAGAAGCGAAAACACGACCGTTGACTTGGAGCTGGGCGGGCTGGTTGGCGTACTGGGCAATCAACTGACCAACACGGGTAGCGTCGCTGCCGGGGTGGTACCAGTTGAAGTCGAAGGAGATGAAGACCTTCATGCCGTTGTTGGCGGCAGACTGGTAAGCGTAGTTGAGCTGGGTGACGGTGTAGTCGTCAGTGCCGATGTTGAGGGCAAAGGCGTCGATACCGGCAGCCTTGGCTCGCTGCATGTCGCCATCGTAGTCGGAAGCACTTCCACGGTCACCAACAATGCCAATCTAGACATTCAATTAGCCTTGTATTGCATCGTCAAGCACATCCTTTTACTAACCATGAAGTGGCAAAAGACCAGGCGGTTACCGGCGGCAGCACGCTCCTCCAGAGATCGGACCTGGATGTTGGAGGTGGAAACTGCGGCGGCACTGCTGAGAGAAGACAGAGCTGCGGCGGCAGCAAGGGCGCTGAGGCCGAGTTGGCGGAGGGTGCCAGCAATCGACAACATTGTGAATGTGTCGAAGAGGTTGGCTTAAGATGTGATTGACCCGGTTGGCGTGAGGAACTCTCTTGAAACCGAGGGCTTCAACCAAGGCCTTTATATATCTGTCTCGGCCCCCTTCCAACGATCCATGACGGCTGCGGACGAGGATCCGGTGGGGAGCGGGACTGTCAGCTCTACAGTTTACCGCCTACCCGGCTGTCACGAATGAAGCTTCTCAGCGATAGTCAGAGCAATAGTCCACCCCCCGGAACTTGCGAGGTTGAAACATGCCATTGAGATCGGTCCGAAGCGAAGTTGAGTAGGAATTGCCAGGGTACGGACAGCCATCCCCTATGGAGGTCCCTCGACAGCTCTAGCGCGGTAACAATGAAACCCACAACCGACCAGCCTAACCGGAAACCATATACTCGTCAACGAGACACCTCGCATGGCTACTGGAAACGTACAAGTTCAGGTGGTTTTTAGATTCCGGTGCCTTGGGCTTCATCTATCGGTCAGGGCGAGCCCGCTGACTTTGAGTAAACAAGAATGGAACGCTCATGTCATCGTATCGTCGAATGGCTTACTCCGTACAGTCGAGATGGATCCCTGCACCACTCGGTGTGCCGAGTATACTACGAAACTCATCGCCAACTAGGATACTCCCTACACGAATCTGGAGTCCCTTTTCCTTTTCCATGTCCATCTTCAACTATCACCAGCTCACGGGGCTGTTGTGGATCAAAGCGTGGTTGGTTGCCGGTTTCAACATCTCGCTACTGGGTACTACTCCCTATTCAGACAAGAACGATCAGAGACTTGGGAGCCAGAGGATCGCGACTCGGCGGTCAAAATAAAACCGAGCATCCCGTGTCAGACCGGAGTTGCAGTTGTCAGCCGTACGAGCCCTGTTACTCAAGAATAGATACAGTTCGCTTCTTCTTCCAATAGAGAGTTGAGCCATCCACACAATTGCGTTCCTGCCGGACTCAGCGGTGGTAATGCTACGGTAAAATGTCAGGAACAGACAAAAGTCACCGTCCAGGGACCTTAAATTAGCGAGGGGGGCCAAATCCCCATAATTTGCTTGACCTTTCAAGTTAGGCTTGGTCGATTTCGCCACCAACGGGAAACGCCAATCTAGGAACGAAGTGCCAAGTTGATTCGTGAAGCGGAGGAAAAGCAGAAGCAGAGACAGGCAACGGAGTCCGGAGTTCAGGAGTTGAGCACGTTCCGAAGAACTGACACGGGATGCCGGCAAAATCGACATTCCTAACCCAGTCATCGGTCGTGGCCCGGATCGACGAGCTACGAGTCCGTGAGCTCAAAGGCTATTCGAACACGGGAAATCAGCACAGCTGATCATCCCCCACATGTTCTAGATCCTCGGTCGCATTCAAAGCACTGGAGCTCCAGCGGCGTGAACATGCGGCCATGCGGCCATGCGGCCATGCTCACGAAAACAACCCATGGGCCCTAGAGTGTGATTTGTATCTCCTTGAGAGCTCTCTCTTGAGTGCCTTCTGCTGTAAATTGTGATTACTTGTATGAATACGAAGAGCGTCCTTGTGCTCCGCTTGCTTCTCCGCAATTCCAAC